ACCGGCAGATCGACGCCTGCAGGCGCGGCTGGCGCGCCTCCGGCTCGCCCGCCACCTGCCCGCGCCGCGGCCGGCGCCGCCCGCCGCGTCCGCGGACAAGGTACGTCTTCGCCACTACCACCCCCTGGGGGCATCAAGAGGGAGAAAGCTACGCTGTCAGAAATTTCCGCATTAATTTAATGTGAATTCCATTAAGTTAAACGCACATGAAATTTAATGTGCACACATGCACATTACGATGCAAGAGTCAAAACTTTACAGACGTATCTAGAAGGAATAAATGATCTTAATGGTCTGTTGATTATGAATATACGATAAAAATGATGTGAGGTTTGGGAAACGGGAGAATCTATTCGTAAAATGTAAACTGATTTGAGTTATGCAATAAATTTAATGACATGGTTACATTCAGTTTCCCGTGCAATACATTATTTTGCATTAGAGTTAATGACATTTCTGACTTTGATAGAGTAACATTTACCTTGGAATTAGGAACGTCATGATGAATTTTGTATGCCGTAAGCTCAATGATAAAACTACGCAATCCAATAATAGTGAAACCTTTGACCAGTGTTTGAGTGTTTATTTTGTAATATTTTCAGTTACCATAGATAAACCGTTTTTTAATTCTTTTGATATGTATATCCGCATTATTGTCTAGTTTTCAGGGAAACTTAATTTGACGTCCATTATAAGGAATTGTAAGTCAGGAAAATGTATTTTCTGATGATTTAGTACTTTCTGATGAGGAAGTACTTTCTGATGATAAAATCAATATTCCCACGAGGACACTTAGTTGGAAAACGCAATATTTTAATTAGACGTATCTTTTCATTCCAATAAACAATGAATTCACATTGATGAAAGATTCTTCAAACATTTTGTAGATCGGTCTTAAATGAGTATTTATGGGTACATGAACATTCTTGGCGGAAAACGCCAAACTCGTGTTATCCTACGAACTGAATCTCGCAGAATCAAAATTTCCGCTGCGCATGCGCTAAAATTCTGATTGACAGCTGATCTCCGTCCACCACCGTAAGCCAGGCAAACAGTTCAATCTTTCCCTCGTACGGTATCAGTGACAGTTGATGCTCTTCAACTGCAATTGACCCTCAAGCCCAAATGTTCCACGTGTATTGGGGGCTATTCACGTTGGATCAATTCACTGACTAAACCCCCTCCCAAGTCGTTCTCCCCTCTCACGCTCCTACCCACCCCTGTCACCAACAACTCGATGACGAGCTGTTGGCCGGAGAGTAGACGGTTTGGTTGAGTCGCTTCCCCGACGTATCGCAAGACTATTCCTGGCCCTCAAGGCTGTTGCACCTCCGGTACAAGGAATGCGGCCCTCGTGTGCGCAGGCGCCAACGACGCCCCCGCCGGCGTCGCCGCCCGCGCAGGCGTGCGACGTGACCGTGGGCGAGGGCGACGCGGCGGCGCCCGCCCCCGCATCGGAGGAGGACGGGGCGCTGGAGGCCGAGGAGGCGGCGCTGCGGCGGCAGCTGGCGGAGAGCGTGCGCGAGCGCGCGTGCCTGGCCGCGCAGTTGGAGGAGCTGCGGCGCCGCGTGCACGACGCCACGGCCTCCGCTTCCGCCTCCGCTTCCGACGGCGGCGGGGGCGCGGACGCCGAGGTGGCGGCCACGCGCGAGGTGAGGCGCGCAGGCGGCTGCGAGAGAATGTTCTGGAGGTGGCTGTCGGAGCAGGATTGATATCTTAAGGGGGTCCTAATCATGAACAAATGGGGCTCCATAAATAATGAAAATGCTGCATATTTCCCTGAGGAAGCCGGTAAACTTTGTGCCAATATGGCGTCAATAAGTTGTTTCTCTTTAGAGATATAAGAACTTAATGATGAGCACAGATTTTCGCGTCACGTCATTGCTTGTTGTTGCCTTCGATGCGGAGTTCGGTGTACACTGCATAACTCCCCGCGATCGAGAGGATCGTTGTTACAAGGGAAATATGAAAACAGTTGAATGATGCTACATGTTCTGGAGGGAATTATTTGGGAAAAATATAAAAAGACTAATGAAGTCAAGTTAACATTAGTTAGTTAATAAGTAAATCTGAATCGTTAAAATGAGGTAAAAAAAATCTATGTACCACGAGCGTTATCTGGTTCTAATGATCTCGAGCGACAAAACGTCCTCGGGCCAAAAGCTCTCGGGCTTTTAGTCGCCGCTTGATCATGAGAAACCCACGCACGTAAAATAAGGCATTATTTCAATTCAATTCAAACCTTATAACGCCCTCGACGCAAAATAAACTATGTATTGCGCACGAATTTAATCTTAGGGGTTACTAAACCAGCCTTAAACCGTGGATGGTGTGTGGTCGAAGTGTTATTCACTCGGACGTGACATTTAACTCTTGGGTGCAGGCGCTGGCCCGCGCGGAGGCCGGGCGCCGCGACGCGCTGGCCGCGTGCGCCGCGCTGGCGCGCCGCCTGGAGAACCCTGGCGCGCGCGCTGCCGCGCTGCGCGCCGCCACCGCCCGCACGACCGCGCTCCTCGGCGGAGCGGAGGCAGGCAGGGGCAGGCGGCAGGCAGGCGGAGGAGGCAGGCGGCGCGGCGGCGGCGGGAGGCGTTTGCGCGCGCTGTAGAGCGGGCCCCTGGTCCGCCGCGCACGCGCGCGCGCGCCCTCGCCAACGTCGAAGCCGCCGCCCCGCCTCGCGCCGGCCCGACGCCGAGGTTGACACACACACACCACCGCACGCGCACACACACTCTCTCTCCTCTCTCCTCTCTCCCTCTCTCTTCTCTCTCCTCTCTATCTCTATCTCTATCTCTATCTCTATCTCTCTCTATCTCTATCTCTCTCTATCTCTCTCTCTCTATCTCTCTCTCTATCTATCTCTATCTCTCTCTCGCGCTCGCTCGCTCGCTCGCACACGCACACGCACACTATACGACTAGGAATGCGACATCGATGTCGATGTTTTCAAAACATCAATGTTTTCAAAACATCAATGTTTTTGTAAAACCATCGATGTACTAACACCGACGATTTTTTAACTATGAGGTTTTTTTTGTTTTTTTTCTTTTCCAATGTTTCGTTTCTGAATGAAAAATTCCCTTGATCATAATACTGTAAAAGTTATATGAAACATCACTGATGTAATGTTAGTACTTGTATTGGAGGCAAAGGAACTTTGTATTGTACTACGTTCATTGACTAAACTCTCTCGCCCGAGATGACCTCCATGCCCTCATATTCGTTTCGAAAATTGAGATGTGGTCAACAAATTTGCTGTGAGCTGTAGGGTCTGCCCCTTCTTCTCGTACCCTTATTCAGTTAACTGATAAACACAAACACTGTCACATTTAATTTTGTTACACACAAATGTAATGTAACTTAACCAACGTGAAAACATCGTTGATTTTTATTTGATGTTTTGTTATTGATGTCTACCTACGACACTGTGGTTGTCATGACAAGGGAATGGGCCACCACTTGCCAACTCGCTTAACACAAACAAAATTTGGGGGCCGGCGAGGAAACTTACTTATAAGGGATTGCATATTAATAGATTACTTTGGTCTGTTTGATATTGTGGTAATGAGGGTTTACTGTATTTGTCGGATGATTTCCTAAATCTGTGGTCGCAGGTTAAAAGAACTTATGTAGGTAGGTGTAAAGAACTTACATCCTGCGATCCTAGAAATATGTTAAGTGATAATGGTCTCACATCCTCTCTATTCCCACAAGGAGCAAATGTTTGGGATTCCTCTGAGGATTGCCTTCTCATTGATTCAATAATAAAAAATGCATTGAAATAAATACACTTTTCAATTATTAAACTATTAAAAAAAAAAAAAAACTAGTGGGATTGCGCAGCATAGTGAAATTTTACTCTCTCTTAGTGTTACTGTAATTATACGTGTATGTAAGCTTGTAATCTGAAAGAATTATGTGTGATATACCCGTACATACATACATACAAATTGATTTTCGGATACAAAATTGTATGTATCTCCTCTCCACCTTAACCATCTTTTGAACAACTAGTAGACCATCATCCTGGCGGATGTGGGAAGTTAGAGCTGTAAAAAGAACACAGATTTTACGACCAATATTTGAAATCATCTTGTTGAAGTGATTCCAATGATTCTTAACAAATTCTTAAATTAAAATTTTTATTATATTCCTAGGATGAACAACTAAACTCTGAATAATGTATGTTAATTCGGTCATCCTTATGACCTACTTGAATTCTTAACACTATTTAGAGATAAATGTTAAGTAGATTCTTCCAAAAATAATTTGAACCAAGTATGTTCAGAACAGCATGTTGCTGTAAAATGATGCATACTTTCCAATTCACTCAGTGCATTCACATTTTAACATGTCCGGCACCAGTTTCGGCCTGCTGAATGAATATTTACCTGTGGCAGGCTCCACATTTTTTAATAGTAGTGTGGGTGTCTTAGCCCTCTGGGCTAAAGTTCTAGTTTCAAAAATTCAAATCATTGATGTTTCTCATCATTCGATATTCTATACCCTATATTTCTGAAATATCTTTCCTCATACTCTAAGCAATCAGGATTTTAACACTTGTTTTATCAATGTAGCAGAACATTCAACAATTTATTCAAATATTTAAAGATGTAGGTGTTAATTGATTTTTTTTTAATCTCATAATTCGACGAATCTTACATGATTATTGTTAGTTGGATTGGTGGTAATGGAAACCTTTTGGCACTCTGTTTTGAAAAAATTAAAGATTCTAATCTTGTATTTTAACGTTAATAAATCAATATTGGTTTTCCCCTAGAACCATCAAAGTGAGCGATGGCTATGTTTGTGTGCCATAGTTGGGAGCGGAGGGCGCGGCGGAGCACAGCGCGGAGCTGAGCGTGGGGCGGCTGCGGGCGTCGCCGGGGCGTCCAGGGGACGCGGAGGCGGCGTCACCGCTTCGCCGCAGCGCCAGCGCCGTCGCCGTCGCCCCCAGCAGCGTCGCCGTCGCCGTGGCGGAGGGCGCGGGCGCGGAGGCGCCCCCGAAGCGCGTGTCCGAGTCGGAGGTGGACGCGTGGTCGGAGCCCGACCGCGCCGTCTCCATGGCGCGCGTGGGGCTGAGCCCGCTGAGCGACCGGCGCGCCGCCGCCGCGGCCGCCGCCGCCGTCAGCGCCTCGTCCGACGACGAGCTGGACGACGTCAGCGCCGCCGGACGCGCAGGTCAGTCTTGTATCTTTGACCCCGCTGAATAAGCTTATACGTCATGAATGCCTAAATTTTACAGGAGAGCAGAAAACATCTATCCATTGAAGTAAATTGGGGATTAATGATATTCAAACTAAACTATTCGTGTGTAGGTTTCGTTTGAAATCTTTAATCCCTGATTTACAGCATCAGCTGAAAGTTGTTATTGCGGGTTTGTTATGTTTTTTTCCCATGTGTGAAATTATAGCATTCATGACTGACCAGCTTATATTTAACCTTGGTCAATATATGGGGGGGGGGGGTGCTTTCAATATAGCTTCATGTCTAGATAACAGATGGTCCCATGTTCAGATCGCGATGGGATCAAATATTTGCTGTTAGTGAAAATCCATTTTCAAAAATAAAAACGAAAAATAAATAAATAAATAAATAAATTGTAATATTGATTTTTTTCGGAAGAAATTAGTTCTGCCAAATGAAACATATTAATATTTATTATAATGACAAGACCCTAATTATCTTTATTTATTGAATTTATTATTGTATTTCATTTATACTGATCAACTGTTTTGTTCTTGTTGCAGGCATTGTAGATCCCTATACAAGTGATGATACTATTGACTCATGTGCTGACAAATTAGTGGAATCTGAGGTACCTACTTAATTCTAAACAGTAATAGTGTATTTTGTCTGTTTCTTGAGTTATGTCTACTGTCACATATTCTTTAAATTGAAATTGAACTTGTAATTATGTAGATACAGGAGACTCCGGTTAAAGTTAACTCAGATATAGTGAACTTAAGTCACTAATCCCATTTCACTTACATTACAAATAAGCACAAGAAGATTTGGTTGTAGTGAATTCTGATCCTTAGCTATAGTGAACATAAATGTAACATGTTGGAAGTTAATTCCTATCTGGAAAAAAATATATGGCATCAGTGACACAAATTCCAACACTCAGCAGCTTGGGGAAATATTGTTGGCCAAATTTCTTTGAAGATGTCTCCCCTGAAGTGGAGGTGGCAGACACCAAATGGCGTCCTTACTGATGACCTTCTGCCACTCAATTTCACTGTGAAAATGAAGGTCATGTTCTGCGAGGGCTAGAACTGGCCATGCACAACTACTAACGTGCTAATTAATAATAAGAAAAGTACCCATCAAACAATTGAAAATAATTGATTTGTAATGTCAAATATAGATATGGAAAATTTCAATTTGCCCTCTTAATGTATTTTGCTTTATCTGTATATTAATCAAATCAATCATTGTGGAGAAATTTTATTTCATCCTTTGACTGCTCTAGACGAGTTGATACACAAAATATTTCCATGTGTGGTAGCCTCTGGACAAGTTATTATGCTCAGTCAGTTTGTCGCTGGGAGCCTGTGATTGAGATTGTACATGAAACCACAATGTCTCAGGAGCCTCTGGGCAAGTTCGTTTGTGCAGACGTGCTTTCGGCTATCACTAGGACTTCCTGACAACTGAGATGTCTTGCATGGTATCAATGTGCGAGCGAGCTCAGCTCACTATGGGGCTTGCAGTGAGAAGCTTGAAGCAAGTGGCATGACTCACAGTTGGCTGGCCCGTAGCAGTTAAAGGACATCATGGGATAAAGTGAACCAAAAATAGTAGCCCCCAGAAGTTCTCTTTAACCAGAGTCAACTGTATATATTCAAGAAATGTATTATTCAGAATCATATTCAAATGGAATGTTTCTTTTATAGGGTGAGCTGCACAGACTGCGTTCAAGAGTGGCTGACCTTGAGACACGAGTGTGTGAGAAGGACAATGAATTATTAGAACAGCAATGTACACTCTTGGAAATGCGCAATACCTATACAGCTCGGTGCATGGAAGCAGAGAACCAACTATCAGAACTGCTTGCACATGTACGACAAGTTCAGGCTGATGCTGAAGAAGAAAGGCAAAGTGCACGTAATCAAGTAAGGATCTTCTTGTACTTTTCTTTTATTCGTTGAGAATTAGCATCTTGAAAATTAATATAAATACTTTTTAGAAACTACTTATAAATAATAATTGTGTTTGTATTGCATTTATTAAATTTTATCTTTATTTCTGCTTTTTTTTTTCATTTTGTTGAGGAGAATTCTTTTCATCTAACATTAGTAAGTTTGCTGTGAAGTGTGAGGAGGAATTGGTTTTCTTTTCATATTTTCATAAAAGATCTTTGAAAATGTTTGAAGCTGGTGATAAATTGATCGTAATTGTGTTTGTGATGGTGGTAAAATACCATAACAAAATTCAATATTTATTCAATTATTTGGTACTGCGTCAGGTATGTGCATTGCAAGTCCCATTGGATGTATATTCTCAAGAAAACAGAATACTCTCAGAAGGTACCACAAACAAGCAAAGCATTAACAATGTAGAGCTTGATGGTTTACAAGCAGAAACTATTTCAACTCGGAAAACTGTTGAAAGCGTAGAGATTGAAAGTTCAGATGGTGGTCAGCAACATATGGAGACTGTTGAGGAAGAAGATAAGGAAGATGAGCTGGAAATCACAACTGAAATGCAAAGTGCACAAGGCAAACAGCAGGTCAGAAGCCTCACGTAACATACAAAACCATTGCAGTATAATTGAATTGGCTGAAGTAGTAGTGGTGGTGGCGGTGGCGGTGGCTGTGGTAGTTGTTGATAAAAGCTGGGTTTGTTGTTTTGGTGAAGGTCCTTTATATTTACTATAATTGGAAACAAGATTTTGCAACAAGTGCCAGGTAACACCGCTGGTTTAGTCATCAATTCATGTTTTTTCTGTAGATATCTGTAGTATGATGAATATGGTTTGAACGCTCTTACTTTATTTTATCAAATAGCTAAGGAATCCAGAATTAAGATAAAAGAGAGCATGTTATGTAAAGAACATTGTGTGTCTCCTATATGTGTTGTTCTTGAACTGATTTATGTAACTAATTTTCATATTATTAGATCTACCTTATTTAAATATGTTGTTCAGTGTTCTTTATTTCTAGACTGTGCTATTAAATGTTTTAGAATTATTATTTTTAGTAAAGTCAATTATTATTTCAAAAGTTTGTGTTAGGCTCTTGGATCTTTTAATGAAAAAAAGTGGATCATACTGGGGTAAACTCAAACTCAACTTTTAACTAGAAACTATACGTGGCATATGAAAACTTTTCCTCCTTTTAGCGTTATTGATCAACAATTTCTCAGATGCGTAAAAAACGTGAATGCAAAAATCATCCAAGTCACGGGAGTCACTGTGGTTGAGAAATAGCATGAAAAGTTGGGACATATCTTAAAATTAAGAGCAGTAAGGACGCACACTGAAAATGAGCTGTAAGTGCGTATATTTACACCCAATTGAAATTAGTTTCTCAAAATTTAATCAATAATATCTATCATTGGTCGTTTTCTGTGAATTGTGAACATAAGAATTTTAATTTCTGGATTAGCTTTTCTGCCTCCAAAGATCAACATAATGCCAAACATCACTTGGTTGCTTAATTTTTTCAGTTTTGTGGTTTAGTCCCCAAGCTGCATAACACCATGCTATTGAGGAATAAATTGCATTGAGAAAGAAATCTTTTTTTTTAATAGGACACAGTTGAAAATAAATTTGAACTAGCTGAACTCTTGCGAACACATTGGACAAAAAAAACAAAGAGATGTACAAAAATTTTGTAGAATCTTTTTACCACCATATTGCAATTGGAAATGTATTCTATATGTCTCCAAAGAAAAAAATTGATTTATAATATATGCAGATATTATAAAAAATTATGCAATGCAGTGGTTATATTAAGTAATTACTACATTATTTCTGGAAAAATTACTTGCCAAATTCCACTTCATCCTATCTTGACTCCTTTCAAAATTTCTTGATACTGGACATTTGAGATTACTATTTCTTTATACCTTCATGTTTACTTGTAGATGTAGAGTGAAATCTGAAGTTATTTAGTATGAAGTATGTGTGGAAAGTTTGTATTAGAGAAAATGAAAGTGTGTCTGAGAAAATAAAGGAAGAGTTAACATGGTTGAAGAACTACAATGTCTAAATTTTGCTGAACTGTTATGCATATTATATCTTTGTTTGGAGATATTGTGACAGTCAAAACAAAGCTTTTGATGAGAGAAAGGAATTAGTTAATTGCATATCATTATCAGAGATATTTATGGAGGAACAAGAGACTATGTTGACAGTACTTTTGTGCAAGAGTGTGTTATCAAAATAGACAGAATGCTTGTATGAATGTTTCAAACATTAACAGAATTATCGTAATTGACATGCCTTTGAAAGTGAGAAATGTGTGAGAGGTGGTCAAAGAAACTTTCCTGGTAATGTTCCATGTATTGTTATGACTAGGGGGCTACTGTTGATGACCTAAAATATTGCCAAAAATGATTACTAAAATGTTCTTAATTAATTTAAAATGCGCTAAAAACAAAGAACTTGACCAAAGCCACTTCAGATGAGCAACTCAAGCTGTTGGATATGGTGACCGATGTAATTGACGCTGCTTCTCTTCGTTCAAGTGAACATAGCCTGCAAAGTTTGGACTGTTCCTTAAAATAAAACTCTGCCTTTGTTTATCGTGTAATAGGCTGAACTGACACCGATAAACATCTCAGGAACCTTAGATTACATAGTACTCACAATGACTGACAATACAATATATGAGGGAAGAAATCGAAAAGGCAGGAATCCGGAATTCTGTGACGAACATTTGTTGCACCTCGTAAATATTGTTTGAAGCAAGTACCATTAAAATGATACTAAAATCTATTAAAGCAGGGGAAAATGCAGTAAAAATTATGAAAAAAGGTAAAAAATGACTTATTTGCTGTAATCGACAAAAAATGCAACAAAAAAATGACATAAAAATGGGTCTTTTCGTTTCGGGATAACACAATATGAATTTCTATACTAAACAGCATTGTTCTTAACTGAAAAGAAAAAAAAGAATTTCATTAATATCCACCCCCTAGTTATGATTTGCATTAGGACAGTAGTGAAGGGTGTAAAAACAATTTACTTCAACTTTGTTGTAATAGGGTGGGAATTGTCACATGTTTGAGACAAATGCACCATATTTCTTGTAAATTTGTATGCACAAGGGATGTTTATGAATATTTACAGAGATGTTTTGTAATAATAGTGTTAACTTATTAAAAAACAATCTAAGAGGGTGTCCAATTTTAGTTCAGAATCCTCCTCCCTAAATAGTTTTGAAATTAATTTTCCATTACCACTCCCCTTTCATTCGCCATTCATTGTTGCATGATGAATGCATGCATAAGTGTGTGAGTGGTGCAGTGGTATAGATGGGAGTGTTTTGGACTGATTTGGTTGTTGGACATATGCATGAGAGCATCACCAGTACTTCAGTTTAGAAGGAAAACCATTTGATTATCTTGGCATTGGGTGTTCAGAAGACAAGAGTGTGGGTCGTGTAATGTCTTTTTGGCTTGTTTGAACGTTGAGTATATGCTTAAGTGTGTGGGTAGTGTTGCAGAATAGTCATAGGTCTAATATAGGCATTGGGTGTAAGAGTACGAGCGTAGGTGGTTCTGAGAGGTGTTCTTTGGGCTGATGTGGGCATTGGGGGCTTGGATGGTGGTGCAGTGTAGAGGGGAGGACTTAGGGGTAAATGTCAGACCATGTGTGGGTAGTTGGGTGCGTGGTGATGTTGCAGTATAGAGGGCGTGGTTGCTTGGGGCATTGGTGTAAGCCTTAGAGCATGGGTGCTGCAGTTAGGGTGTGAGTAGTAGATTGCTTGGGTTGCGCTGCAGTATAGCGGGGAGGGTGTTGGATGTCAGCGTTAGAGCATGGGTCGTTGTTTGATGTAAGCGTTAGGGGGAGGGCGTTGGGATAAGCGTCAGACCGTGCGTGAGTGCTTGGGTGGGTGGTTGGGTTGCGCTGCAATGTAGAGGGCGTTGCCCCAAAGCCCTCCCCTCTACACTGCACCACCACCCAAGCCCCCAATGCCCACACGATCCAAATGAACACCTCTCAGGACCACCCACGTTTGTGTGTTACACCCAATGGTGGTTGGCGGTGCAGTGGAGTGAGACGTGCGTGTTGTGCGCAAGAGAGAGAATAGAAAAGGCGGGAGACAGGGCAGGGAGAGAGCAGGGGAGAGGCAGAGTGGAAGGGAGCAGAGGAGGAGTGAGAGAGGAGAGGAGGCAAGAGAGAGGGGGAGGGAGAAGGAGAACGGGAGGCCGAGAGAGGCGAGGAGAGACGGGGGAGGAGAGGGGGCGAGAGCGAGGAGGGGAGCGAGGAGAGAGGGGGGAGCGAAAGAGGGGGGAGAGAGGAGAAGGAAGAGGATCGGCAGGAGCCGAGAGAGAGAGGGGCAGGGAGAGGGGGAGGAGGCAGGACAGGAGAACGGAGGGGAAGAGAGGGGGAGGAGAAAGGATGGGAGAAGGCGTGAGAGGAGAAGAAGAATCGAGAACGTGTCCCTCACGATGAAGCGTGGATCGACGAGAGGCGAGCGCGGCCCGCCGGCGGCGGGCAGCGTCGCGGGCGCGACCGGGCACGGCCGCTGGCCTGGCCGAGGAGCGAGACGGCTGGCGTCGAGAGCGTCCCGCCGCCAGGTGGTCCGTTGCTGAGCCTGACAGGCCCAGGACTCTGTGGATGCAGCCTGGCGCCCTGGCGCGCTGTGGCGCGCCGCGCGCCGCCGTCCGCCGCCGCGGCCCTCCGCGCCCAGGCGCCGCTCCGAGGACCGCAGCCGCTCGCTCACAGTGCGCCTCCGCTCCAGCGAGCCGCGCGCCGAGCTGCGCCACCGCCGCCGCGTAACCCGCTGCGCCGCGAGGCAGCGCCGCGTCCGCCCAGCCGCCACCGCCGCTCCGCCTCCGCCTCGCCGCTGCGCACCAACAGCCACGTCTCACTTCCACTGCACCGCCAACCACCAGTCGGGATGTAACACACAAACGGGGTGGTCCTAGAGGTGCTTCATTTGGACGGATGCATGAGAGCGCTTGTGGTGAGTGCTGAGTGCTAGTGGGCGATAGCAGGAGAGCGAGGGCTTTGGGGCACAACGCCCCTCTACATTGAAGCCGCAACCCAACCACCCACCCAAAGCCACTCGCACGCAACGGTCTGAGACGCTATCCCAAACGGCCCTCCCCGCGATAAACGCTCTTACATTCAACACAACGCACCATCGCTCTAACGCTGACAATGCCAACACCCCCCCGCTATACTGCAGCGCAACCCCAAAGCAATCTACTACTCACACCCGTAACGCAGACACCATGGCTCTAAGTTACACCCAATGCCACCAGCAAACCACCCGCCCTCTATACCTGCAACACTCACCACGCAAAACCCACACTACCCACACATGGTCTGACATTTACCCCCTACAGTCCTCCCCTCTACAACTGCCACCACCCATCCAAGCCCCCATGCCCACATCAGACCACAAAGAACACCTCTCAGAACCACCTACGTACTGCCTCTCTCTGCTCACCCAACCCCGACTCGCCGTGAGCCGTCAGTATACTCGATATCCTAGGACTATCGTGCAAACCACGACATCACACTTATGCATATATACTCAACGTTCAAAACAAGCCAAAAAGACATTTACACGACCCACAAGCTCTTGTCTTCTGAACACACCCCAATGCCAAGATAATCAAGAATGGTTTCCTCTAAACTGAAAGTACTAGGTGAGTGCTCTCATGCATATGTCAACAGACCAAATCAGTCCAAAACCACTACCCCCATCCGTCATACCACTGCACCACCCACACCACAACTTAGGCATGCGATTCATCATGCAACAACTGAAGGGATCGCTCTT